TCAATCATAAAAAATGCACACAAGTAGGGGGAGCAAGCTCATAAACTTGTATGTTGCATTTGAATGAACATTTCATATATTTGCTTGCATGGCACAAGTTTTAAATGTATGCTAGTTGTATGTTTGAATGATGAAATGAAAATCTAGCATGCATAGGTTATCTAGTGATTTCATTTCCAAATGTTTCCAAGTGGTATCGAGCTAACCATGGTGCTAAGGATGGTATAATTGTGCACTCCGATTGGTATCACACTTCAAAGGTCCATCTCTTATACCTTAGCATCATATGGTAGACATTGACTCCTATATTTCCTATCTAAGCAAATGTGCAAGCTACAATCCAAACTCTTAGCACATATGTAGGGGGAGCAATTGTTACCATTTGGAGTTCATAAAACTTGTCCATATTCTTTTACACATGGTAAATATGCTTGGGCAAGCAACGTGGATTTAATTAAATCTCAATTCATATCTTTGTGAAAGGGTTGTCATCAATTACCAAAAAGGGGGAGATTGAAAGCTCTAGCTTGGTTTTGGTTAATTGATGAAACCCTAAGTGCTAACCTAGTTTATCAAAGTGATTATAAGATAGGTAGCACTACTCCAAGTGATGAAGCAATGGCAAAGATCATGACGATGGTGATGGCATGGTGATGATCAAATGCTTGAACTTGGAAAAGAAGAAAGAGAAAAACAAAAGGCTCAAGGCAAAGGTATAAATGGTAGGAGCCATTTTGTTTCGGTGATCAAGACACTTAGCGAGTGTGATCACATTTAGGTTAGATAGCCGTACTATTAAGAGGGGTGAAACTCGTATTGAAATGCGGTTATCAAAGTGCCACTAGATGCTCTAACTCATTACATATGCATTTAGGATCTAGTGGAGTGCTAACACCCTTAAAAATGTTTGTGAAAATATGCTAACACATGTGCACAAGGTGATACACTTGGTGGTTGGCACATTTGAGCAAGGGTGAAGAAGTTAGAGGTGAAAAGGAGTTAGTGTCGCTGGCTGTACAGTGACCGGACGCTGGACCTCTGGGGGACCGACGCGTCTGGCCATGTGTAGCAGTGGAGATGCCAGCGTCGGTGAATGACCGGACGCTGGGTCATGGACAGACCAGACGCTAAGGGTCAGGGTCCGGTCATGTTGTCAGACAGCGCAGAAGAAAGTCATTGAGTGACCGGACGCCGGTAGGGTCCGGTCAAGCATGACCGGATGCGTCCGGTCAAAGAAAAGCGTTTCTGGAACCTTACTGGAAACGATCGGACACTGGAGGCTGAGCGTCCGGTCAATTTATGCGCTGTGTCCGGTCAACAGACGACCGTTGAAATCTGACGAACAACATTTAAAGCAGGGACACGTGACGTGTATCACGTGATAGGACGCTGAGGGCCAGCGTCCGGTCCATCCGACCGGTGCGTCCGGTCACCCCGCGCTGTACCCAGTGAAGGGGTACAACGGCTCTATTTCGTGGGGGCTTCTATTTAAGCCCCATGGCTGGCTCAAGCTCACTCTCTTGGCCATTTGCATTGACATAGCAACCTTGTGAGCTTAGCCAAAGCCCTCCCACTTATCTCCATCATTGATCCATCATCATTGTGAGATTGAGAGATAATCCAAGTGCATTGCTTGAGTGATTGCATCTAGAGGCACTTGGCATTCGTGTTTCGTTGCGGGATTCACTTGTTACTCTTGGTGGTTGCCACCACCTAGATGGCTTGGAGTAGCGAGGATCGTTGAGCGGAGGTTGGTGATTGTCTCCGACTCCGATCGTGGTGATTGTAAGGGGTCTTGTGCCTTCCCCAGCGGAGCGCCGAAAGGTAACTCTAGTGGATTGCTCGTGTCATTGAGTTACCTCACTTGTGGGTTGGTTCTTGCGGTGTCCAATTGTGTGTACGAGGTTCGTGCAACACCTCTTAGCCGTGCGAACCACCAAGTGTTTGTCGACACAACGGGGACTAGTGTGCCGGCAAGGACGTGAACCTCGGGAGAAAAATTGGTTGTCTCTTGCCCTTTGATTTTCTCCCGGTGATTGATTTAGTATTGATCTTGCGATTGGTTCACTCCTCTACACGGTGGTATAATCACCCTACTCACTTATTTATATTCTTGCAAACTAGTTGTGGCAAGCTCTTTAGTGTAATTAGATTTGAGAGCTTGCTTTGTTATTTTAAGTTCATCTAGTGGAGCTCTTTAGAGTAGCAAGATTGAGAGCTCTTAGTGAGTAGTAACATTGCAAGTTGTGTGCCTAGTAATCATTGCAACTAGAATTGTTGGATAGGTGGCTTGCAACCCTTGTAGAGCTAGAGCAAGTTTGCATTTCGCTATTTGTCATACTAATCAAATTGCTCTAGTTGATTTGTAGATTTTTAAATAGGCTATTCACCCCCCTCTAGCCATATTAGGACCTATCAATCGGGAGCCCCTCCGACGCACCTAGGAGGTCAATCCTCACCTATGGGACGATGCGCAACTCGAGCAGCGGTTGGAGGAGCCGGGACTCAGTAGAATGGCCTCTCCACGACGACAGACACCCTGCAGCGGCGGCAACCAAGTTCCGGTGAGCCATGGCCTTTTGGAAGTGGTAGAAACATGTGGTGGGCACTAGTGACTCACCACGAACCTACCCATGGCGATGGCTCGGCCGGAGATGCCCCGAGCGAGACTGGCCACGTGCGCGCGGCAAGTTCGACGACGGGTCACGGTGGCGCGGCCGCGTCAGCGATGTAGAGACGGCGGTAGGAGTGTGGCTTAGGTGCGCATGGCGATGAAGGGTTTTAGACGGGGCTAGCGGCGCAGTCAGCCTAGCTCGAGATGGCGAGGTGGAAGCTGTCCATGGTGAGGCGGGCTGGGCCTTAATGGCATGGTGGCAGAAGCAAAGCTCCAAAATTGGAGCTTGTCTTGGCAGCAATCAAGGCGGGGAATGGGCGGTCGAGGTCGTAAAGGCGGAGACGCGGCACGAGGAATTGATGAGAGGTGCTCGCTCTCTGGCTCACCGTGACCGTGACTCGGCGGCGGCGAAAAGCAGAGGCGCAGCGGGGAAAAAGGGCGGCGGGTGCGGTCAGTGTTTCGGCTGGTGCATGCCTTGGTGGGGCGCGGTTGTCGTGGCTGAGGGACCTAAGTCCAAGCATGAGGGAACGAGCGCGAGCGTCCGCGACCGACCATGGCCCGCGCGCCGCAGCGCCATTAATGGCGTGACGACGGCATGCACGGTCACGTGCGGACGGAACCCAACCGGGCCAGGGAGGGGGCAGCGCGATGCAGCGAGCAGACACGAGTGCGGGAGTGACACGATGGCAGGGACAGCGACTGTGACCGCGATTGCGTCGCGACGCGCGACATGGAGGGTAGCAGCAGCATCAGCGGCAGCCGCGGTGGTAGTGGCGGTCGAGCGCAGAGAGGGCCGGCGGGGCACGGCGACCTACGACTGGCAGCAAGCGGTGCGGCCAGAGCGGCCAAGTCACGGCCAGACCAAGGGCAGCCTCGGTCGGCTGGTGTGCGGCCACACACACGCGCGCACGGCACAGCCGCGCAGCGACGCAAAACGGCCATGCGTGGTGACCACGCTCCCAAGCCCGACGGCCCGAGACTGAGTACGCGCACAAATTTTAAAGCGCCCGTAAAAACTAAACGATTTTATTTGGAACCAAGCCATCTTCACTACTCTAAAGAGGACACCTTAGGCTATCAACCAGAGCTACAACACGACATCCCTTCTTAACCCAATTTCTCCAAACAAATTGCTAAACATAGCAACGTCTAGCTATCCACGAGCTTAGAAATATTCTACGCGTTTGAGCTAATCTTAATTTCATATTGTATTTCTAAGCTACTGAAAATATTATTTAGCCATATTCTTTTTCAACACGAAGTATTTCATTGCCATCTACAAAGTTTGTACTTTAAACTTTATTTATGTGTCACATATATGTTCTATAGCATTTCTGTTCAATAAAAATTAGTTTATACATGAACATATTGAATCAACTTTCGTTTAACATTTTTATTAGTCATTTTAAGTTACAAGAAATTTATCTACACATTATATCACATGCATTAACATATAAACATGATGCTCATGACATATTTTAATAATTGATTTAGGGTGTAACACCGCCTCTCCCTAGTCCCTTCTTCCTCTTCTAGTCCACGCGGACAAAAACTCCATCGCTTGCCGAGGTCCGTGTGGCTTTGTATCGGCCCCTACCGCGGCAGCCCTGGACAAAAACTCCATCGCCTGCCGCATGTGGCTTTGTACCAGCCCCTGCCGAGGCAGTTGTCGTGGACAAAGATGTCAACGGGTCGATGGAGTAAAAATTTGTTGTCGACGGCGCGCGTGATATTTGGCTACACCTATTCCGTAGGTGTTAAGTCGCTGTGTTATTAAGCTAATATACAACACAAAAATCATAAAATTTAAGAGAAAACAACCCAAAATTATCAATTTATCATGACGAATCGAAAGTTCATAACTTAAATTTAGTCTAGTGCATACTATGTAGACAATATAATCTATGCAAAATCATCTTTAAGTTTTATATAGGATTTCGTCAAACATTAATTCTAGATCTCTAATTAGAGGGAAAATAGAAAAAAAAATATACATTTTGGGCCTGTGGGTCACCCGCGGGTGAAATATGACATCTGAAACCGACCCGACATCATCACAGGCCTCGACCCAAAGACACCCGCACCCACACCCTCGCACCCGAACCTGCGGGTGTGATTGCTGAAGCGGACAGGGGGCGCAGCAGGGTATGTTTGGCTACCACGCTTACCCTGTCGGGCCACCAAGCCTGGCACGGCAGTATGGGCCACGTTAGGGGAGTTGGCGTGGTCGAAGGGATTAGTTAAAAAAAAATAGATGTAGTTAAAAATAAAATTTCTTTTGAAAAAAGATTTAAAATCCCCAATTTGCTCGAAAACATTTTCGGCAAAGAACATAGCGAGTCGAACATTTGTATGAAGCTGAGAAACGAGTCAATGCTACGCGGTATCATCCGTGAATGCCGGTCAGATCAGCGACCCTGATCGCGGTGAACGGCCTGTCCAGCACCGAACGCCTCCGTGACGAGAGCTCCTGCGCGACGCTCCGCATAGTCGGGCGGGCCTCGGGGTCCTCCCGCACGCACGACAGGGCCACCAGAAACGCGAACACCACCTGCGCGCCCACCTGCCCTTCGGGAGAGTCCAGCCTCTGATCCAGGGCGTCCTTCAGCAGCAGCGACCCATTGCCATGGGTGTCCGGGACCGGGAGCCGCGAGTGCAGGGCGCTTATGAGGCTGCCCGGGTGCCTGCCCATCAGGATCTCCAGCGCCACCACGCCGAAGCTGTACACGTCGCACTTGGTCGTCACCCTCAGGTACGCCAGCTCTGCATGCGGCCGAGAAGGAAGCAGCAATCAGCCATGGCAATGTGAGCGCGGCAGCGAAACATTTCTCGCACACGACGCACGCAGCCACTGTGAAATGCAATGCCTTTACATTATTACCTGGCGCCATGTAGCCGTAGGAGCCCGCGACGCTGGTGCAGTCGGAGCGGCCGGGGGAGAGGAACCTCGCCGTGCCGAAGTCGGACACCCGCGGCTCGTAGTCCGGGTCCAGCAGCACGTTGTTGACCGTGACGTCGCGGTGGATCATCGGCGGCGAGCAGTCGTGGTGCAGGTACGCCAGCCCGCCGATGGCGCGCGCCCGCGCGGGCCAGTCGAACAGCCCGCAGCCACGGCCGGGCCCGTACAGCACCTTCCCGAGGCTGCCGCGCTCCACCAGCTCGTACGCCAGGTACATGTGCCCGCCCATGGCGCTGAAGCCGTGGAGCCTCACGATGTTGCGGTGCCGGACGCGCGTCAGCGCCCGGACCTCGTTCTCGAAGCTCTTCTCGCTGACGCCCCGGCGGCACGCGTCGCCGGTCTCCGAAGCGTCCAGCCGCTTCACGGCAAGGCTCTGCCCGCCGGGGCCCGGCAGGTCGGCCCGGTACACGCTCCCGAAGCTGCCCTTGCCGATGCAGTAGGCCTCGTTGAAGTGTTCCGTCGCCGCCAGGATGTCGCCGAACGAGAACGCCGCGTCATTGCCCCATATGGAAGCTGTCAGAGCCATCGCGCCGCCGGCGCCGCTCGCCGTCGTGTCGGGGCTGTCTTGTCCGGCTCGCCTCCTCCTTCGGGCCACCAGTACGCACAACACTGCAGCTACGGAGAGCAGAAGCGCCGCGGCGGAAACCAGCGTCGCGACGAGGACTAGCCTCGCGCGGTACCGTTTGGAGCTGGAGCCGCCTCTACTCGGCTCCGAGCGACAGGAACTCAGCCCGGCGATGTCGCCGCACAGGCCTGGGTTGCCGCTAAGATCAAGTTCCTGCAGCGAGGCCATCTTTCCGAGCAGAGCCGGCACCTCTCCGGTGAGGCTGTTGTGGCTCAGGTTCAGCTGCCACATGTGGGCAAGGTTGGTCAGCTCCACCGGCACGCCACCGTCGAGGTGATTTCCGGACAGGTCCAGCCATAGCATACCAGTGGCATTCCCGAGCGTCAGAGGGATCTGCCCTGACAACATGTTACGGCTCAAATCCAGCTTGAGCAAAGGCAATGCACCGAGCTCCGGCTGTATCGTGCCGGCAAGGCGATTTGATGAGAGGCTCAAATCTTGCAATACGGTCATGGCGCCGTAACTGGCCGGAATTGTCCCGGTGATCATGTTGCCCTCCAAGTGCAGGTACGAGAGGCTCTTGAACTGAGACCAGTGCGCCGGCAGGTCGCCACCGAACGAATTCCCCGACAGGTCAATGTAGTACAGGTCAGGATGCGATCCCAAGATCTCCGACACGTCGCCGGACAACCGGTTCCGTGCCAGCCGGAAGCGCACCAGCTTGGTAAAATTGCTGTAGCAAGCGGGCACGGTGCCGGAGATGTCGTTGTCGTCAAGGCTGAGGTACCGCAGGCGCGGCGTGCTGCACAGCCCCTGAGGCAGCCCGCCGGCGAAGTTGTTGTTGGACATGCTGAGGATGGACAGGTTCCGGCCGAAGCCCGGTGGGATGGTGCCGGCGAAGAGGTTGTCGAAGGCAACGATGGCGAGGAGGTTCGGCAGCCGAGTGAGCCCGGCCGGCAGCTCGCCCTCCAGCATGTTGGTGTTTATGGACAGTCTCTGCAGCGCCGTCATGTTCCCGAACTCGTCCGGCAACCTTCCGGTGAGCTTGTTGTCGTACAGTCGCAGCGTGTCGAGGCTCGTGAGGTTGCCGATCGTCCGGGGGATCGCGCCGGAGAATCCGTTCTCGGAGAGGTCCAGCACCTTGAGGCTTGTCATGCTTCCGATGACCGCTGGTATCGGACCGGAGAGATTGTTGGTCGCCAAGTGGAGGTACTCGAGCCTCGACGCCGTCGCGACTTCCACGGGGATCCTGCCGGTGAAGCGGTTGCCGTCCGCCTGAAACACCCTGAGGTGGGTCCAGGACGTGAAGTAGTCCGGTGGAATCTCGCCGGTGAGCATGTTCTTGGAGACGTTAAAGTCCCGTACTCTGGTCAGCTTGGCTAGCGACGGCGGCAGGCCCCAGGTGAGCTTGTTCCCGGCGAGACCAATGACGGTGAGGTTGGTGCAGAGGCTGAGCTCAGTTGGAATTGTTGACTCCAGCCGAGCCAGGCTGACATTGATGCGCTCCAGCGACAGGAGCTTGCCGAGAGTGGCGGGAATCGTGCCGCCCAACGGGTTGCTTGACAGCTCAAGGTCTCTTAGCCCGGAGACGTTGCCAAGCACCGGCGGTATGCCGCCGGAAAGGTTGTTGGAGTGAAGGACAAGGCTCTGCAGCTTAGTCAGCTTGTCTAGTGTAGCCGGTATCTCGCCGGTGAACTGGTTGGACGAGAGGTTGAGGTGCTCGAGGTTGGGCATGTACGCCGGCAACGTGGCCGGGACTGGACCTGACAAGTTGTTGTAGGACAGATCGATAGACCTGACGCTGAGAAGCGGCGCGGACACGTTGGGCGGGAAGAAGCCCCCCGTCAGCGCGTTGAAGCTGAGGTTGAGGCTGCCGAGGCTGGGCAGCGACTGGAGGTCCAGGGCGGCGAGCGTGCCGGCGAGGCCGGCACCGGCCACGTCGACGCCCACAACGCGGCCGAGGGAGTCGCACGACACGCCGCGCCACGCGCACGGCGCGGGCGCCGCGGCGACGGCGGCCGAGCCGTTGAGTGACCACGAGGCGAGCGCGTCCGCGGAGCGCGGCGGCGGGGGCAGGCTGTCCTTCCACCTCAGGAGCGCCTCGGCCTCGCCCTGCGCCGAGAACGCGGGGCGCGGGGAGGACCAAAGGAGCAGCAGGTGGGCGAGGAGCAGAAGCGCGCGCCTGGTGCAGCCTGCTGGACGGCGGTGGGGCATTGACGTCGTTTGGCGCGCCATCTCTTCCTCTCCAGAATCTAGGCAAAGGCGGCTAGGCACACATGTGAATGTGATCAGGCGTTGCACTGCATTGCTTCTCAAGAGTTGGCACGTGGGATTGGAGAGGGGCACACATGTGAAAAATCTTTCCCCCCACGTCTGAATTTTTTTCTTTCCTTTATTTCGCCTTTGTTCTTTCTATATATCTGAATGGCATGCATAGAAGGGAATAAGACTGATAAGATTCAAATGGAGGCCTTCTCTCTCATCATCCTAAATTTACGGTGAATAATTTATACTTGTCTCTTTTCTTATCAACAAACAACGAACCAACAGGTTCATTTTGTAACTTCAGGTTTACAAAATTCATGGGGGTTACGGACTAGACAACTTCTGCTCTATTCTGTCCCGCAACCGGTACATTTTCAGCGCCTGTTGCACCCAGTGGATCCGGTTCAAATCCGGTAGTCCATCTCCATCCCCCCACAAAAAAGTTATGCTGGGTCGTGGTCTTGGTTGGCCGCTGGTTTCCTCGTCCGGCCGGTCCATCTCCAGCGCCTGTCAATGATGTCCTGTGGTTGCTTGCATCAACTCGATCCATGCTTATACAAATACTAGTATCAGTTATCATATCAGGTGAGTAGGTGACCTTGTGTTTTTCTAGTGGTTTTATTTATTGCCTGCAGTGCGCTACATGTACGGCAACTGTACGTTGATATATTTATATACTAAAAAAATGTACGTTGATATAGTACTCCTATTTGCCAAGGATAAAGCGTGTTTGCGTCGAAATGGTATTCAGGCTGTTACCAGCTGGTACGAGTAATAGGAGCCCGGCCTTTAGGACGGTTTCAACGACACAGAGGTCAATTACTAGATTAGAGGTGCTGGGAACGGATAATCAACTCCCTGCAAAATTATTGCGGGAGTAGGTATGTACGAGTCTGTGCTTGCAAGGATTTTTTTTTTTCTGACTGAATGTCATACCCTACGTGTGTCTCTGTCAGCATATAAGGCCTTGTTTAGATTGGAAATTTTTGCAATCCGGACACTGTAGCACGTTTCGTTTGTATTTGATAAACTTTGTTCAATCATGGACTAACTAGGTTCAAAAGATTCGTCTCGTGATTTACAACCAAACTGTGCAATTAATTATTTTTTTACCTACATTTAATGCTCCATGCATATGTTCAAAAATTAATGTGATAGAGAGAGAGTGAAAAAACTTAGAATTTTGATGGGATCTAAACAAGGCCTAAGTAAAAAAAAAGAGATGCATTTAGGTAGCCCTTTGACATTACGTGACATTGATGTCAACTCTGTTATTATATGAAAGTGGCACGGATATGAAAAACGAAAAGGAAAAAAAAAAGGATGAAGTGATGGTATGTGAAGGGATCATGACTTTTTCGATGACAAATTGAGAATTCTACTAACATTTGCTGGCACGCATATAAAGAACTGGCTCAAGACTTTTTCACATGGTAAAGGACTGAAAGAGATGTCGCTGTTTCGTTATCCGTACGTATAGAGCTCAGATTATGCATGTGAGATTGCCAGCAGGATCTTGTTCGGTCATCTCTGACGCGGCGAATCACTCTCTGTGAGTCTGGCCTAACCTAACAGCTTCTAGAGCATATCGATGAGCGAATTAGAATTAAACTGGACATGGCAACCCATGCATGCCACTGAGATTTCTGTGTGCCTTACTACACAGCCATATCGATGAGCGTGATAAGATGGCCGCACTGGAAAAAGATCATCATGGGCTGAGCTAGTGCTGCTCTTCCTAACAAATAAAGGCTGTTACTTGTGTGACTCGATCTGGAACGTCTACTAGTATGGAAAATATGGAATAGTGTGGAAGCTGGAAACCGGCAAACCTTTACAATCAGCAGTTGCTTACTCTTTCGTCAGAGGCCTTCAGCCCCAGCTACTTTCTCTAGCATCAGCATGCATGGTTGGTATCTGCGTTGGGTATGTAGAATTGGGAATTGGGATTTTTTTTTTTTGAAACTGGCAACTGGCTCTAGGGCCTTTCATTCATCAACTCGATTGGGTAGCGAGACATCAAATTTTTTAAAGACTGGGAGGGGGTTTGTCACACACATGACACACCGAGTTCCAACTCAAACCCAATTTAGCCAGACCATGCGCCGTGGCATTACAATATCTAGGAATTAAAAGGACATCCTCACATACAAAGTGTCCATGCAGGAGGTTACGCACGTCACTGATCAGCATACTGCTAGCAGCTAGGTCCATGGATGAGGATGAGATCGCCTGCTTCAGGATAGAAGAATCGACTTCAAGCTGAATACGCGAGATGCCATAGTCCGTCAGCACATCCGGAGCCGCTGCTACATGCCCTGCTCCTGCGATCACAGCTTCCCCTTCATGATCTCGGATGATAAATCTGAAAGGTTTCTCGTTTGATTTTGGTAATTGAGTGATAATCTAGGTAGACTAATATATGTTTGTATGAGATATACATGATGATTAGTCCACATGTGCATGTGTGTGAGCAATACATGTTATGGAGGTGAAATTATTTGGTTTTGTTGTAAAGCTCACACATGTGATGAAGGAGCTCATTGCATATGAGACATGACATTGAGTCATGTGATTAAGGTGAAGAAGATCAAGATAAGACTTGGCTCGATGAACTGGTTGCAAGCGTGAAGAACAAGTTGGAGGCTTTGGAGCGATGGACCGCATGGTGGTGAAGCTTGAGCAAGACTTAGTGCCGATGGACGAAGGCATTGGTAAAAAGTAAGTAAGGTCAAGATCAATGAACCAACAAGGTCACGTGATGATATGAAGTGGATTATATCATTTGTTGATCGTGTCGGTGCATGTATTGCATCAACACTGAAGGAGATGGAATGGAATGCGCAAGGCAAATGTATAACCTATAGGGCATTTCATTTCACCGGTCATAGGTGTGTAGAAAAGTTTATGACCGGGTTTATAATAGATAGCCATACTATAAAGAGAGAAAATCTTTAATTGCAACGGTTATCTAGTGCCACTAAGTGTTAGTTTCATTTGCATATGCATTGCGCTTAGTGACGTGGTGAGATGCGTGAGAAAGCCCAGGAGAATTCTTTGTGAAAAGCTATCTCAAGTGCTAAATTTGGTTTGGTGCTTTTTGGAAGAGATAGCACTTGAAAAGAGTATTTTGTGCAGCGTGACCAAAATTTCTTGCTCACGGAGCTTAAATTTCCAGTTAGAGGTGCTCTGTTGGTTTGGCGTAATTAGCTGAAAATTTAGTTGCCCCGAGCTGGAATTTCCAGAGTGGGAGTCTTCTGTGCCAACGGTTGAAAGCATGTTTGCCTGGAAATTTTTCCTGCCCGAGCTGGAATTTCTAGTTCAGCTCAGATCTAACCGTTGGGAGTGCGAGCTGAGGGTATTTGGGGGGGCTGCAGCCCTCTTCCTTCCAATTCCTCTCCCCATTCATGCGCACTTGAAGTTAGGGTTCATCTCTTTCCTCTCTCTCTCTCCCTAAGCTTTGTGCTCCATGATTTTGAGAGATTGAGTGCCCTTTGTGGGTGTGTATGAGAGGTTGAAGATCCACTTCTCTCCCTCCTCTTCCTCTCTAAACTTAGTGCTAATTTGTGAGAGGTTGAGAGACTTAGTGTGTCCATTCAGGATTTGTATTTAGTGACACTAGAAAATCTTTGTGATTGGGGATATCTTGCTACTCTTGGTGATTGCCATCACCTAGATGGCTTGAGGTTGTGGTTTTCGTCGAAGCACGTAAAGAAGATTGTTCAGTGCTCCGAAGAAGTGATTGTGAGAGACATTGTGCTCGCCCCGCGGGAGCTGCGAAGAGCAACTCTAGTAGAGCGTGTCATTGAGCTACTCTCACTTGTGGGTAGGTTCTTGAGGCGCCCAACGTGTGAGCTAGGTTTGTGAAACACCTATTAGCCGTCGAACCACCAAGTGAGCGGTCGACACAACGGGAACTATCTTGGTGGCAACCAAGTGAACCTCGGGATAAAAATCACCGTGTCAACCTTATTCATCTCGTTTGTTTGTAATTCCCCAACACAAGCTTGTAATTGCTTTCATATATATTGTGCTTGTGTAGTTGCTCTTATAATTAGTTAGCTTGTATAGCTTGCTAGTTATCTTCTTACTTGTGTAGCATAGAAGTAACTTTCTTGCGTGACTAATTTGGTTTGAGTAATCTTGTTAGTCATATTACTTAGTTTGTGTAACTGAGTAATTTGCGCTCTCTAATTTGGGTTGCGTAGCCTTGTTATTGAGCTTTGCTAGTGAGCTTAGGTAGCTTTGTGCTTTTGCTTACTAAATTGTGTAGGAGCTCCTCCGGTGTTTAAAATACTAATTGCATAGGTTTGTGTGACCTTACTACTAGATTTGTTTAGGTGAGTTCTAACTAGCCCGGCACCTTTGTTGTCTAATTATGATCTTTATAAGGTGCTTTAGAACATAGATAGAGAGGTGTAGTCTTTGTTAGACCGATACTTTTAATTTCATATTTGTTTTAATTAGTATGCACGATTATTTTTTTAGAAAGAACTATTCACACTCTTCTGGTTCGTCCTCTCGACCCTACAAAATCCCCACCCTCCGCTCAGGTTGTCACTGATAAATGAGCCATGTGTATTGATTTTCAAGAGCCCCGGTGGGGGAGCTTTCCATTTTGGTTCCGCAACTGCAGTTCTTCCATGAATCTGCTGCTCGCTACATCCGAGTTCATTCAACGATCTGAAGACGTCACCTGTAATTTCATCACTAGAGAAGCCTCTCTCTCCCTTATTCAACTTGTTCCGGTTACTCCACCATTTCCACAGCAATATAATAGTTTTCAGGCACTCATCTTCCTTCAGTTTCAGCACCTTCTGGGTGACATCCCAAGACGATTTTTCTGCTAGCAACTTCAGGCGAATCGGCTCCAACTGGAGATCACGCCAGCAACGCTTCACAAACTTGCATTTGAGGAAATAGTGCCCACCATCTTCATCTAGGCGTAA